TATACTGTATATATCTTAGTTAAATATGTATTAATAAATAATATATTAATATATTAATTTAATATTATATATGTTTACATGTATGTTGACTTTTATTTCATTTTTTTATTTATAAAGTAATTTTATTATGTTTTTCTGAATATTTATTAATAATTAATATTAATTATAAATGTATTAATACCTGGTTTTGACCCTTGACCTCCAATTTTATGTATATTTACAATATAATCATTTATAATGTAATTGTATTTTTATTTAAAAAGGTATTAATAATTAATATGTATTCTAAGTGTATTTTTACATTTTATATTATAGATAAGTGTGTTTATTACATTTTTTTGTAACTATAATAAATGTAACTTTATTATATATACAGTATATACTGTATATATCTTAGTTAAATATGTATTAATAAATAATATATTAATATATTAATTTAATATTATATATGTTTACATGTATGTTGACTTTTATTTCATTTTTTTATTTATAAAGTAATTTTATTATGTTTTTCTGAATATTTATTAATAATTAATATTAATTATAAATGTATTAATACCTGGTTTTGACCCTTGACCTCCAAAAACCAGGTACCATGTTCCCGCTGGAAACAGACTCCGGAGTGTGTTGTTTTGGATGCTGGTTCTTGTTGGTTTGTTTCTCTCTCTGAGCTTTAGATTTGTGTGTTTCTCTCTTCTAGAAAATACTTCCTCTGGTTTGACTCCTTCTGCTCTCAGTATTGTTCACCATTTTTGACCTGGTGGGAAACGCAAAGTCTCCTGTGATTATTTACTGAAATCTCTCAAGCTTCCTGTTTGCATGTTTACTTCGCATATTTTTCAAGGAACATATAACTTGCTTACCATCTGATTCAGATCTTTTGTTTGGGCCTCAGTGTCTCGGTGTTTGTGTGTTTAACTGCAAAGACTAAATCTATAAAAACACCTCAATAAACCGGAGGAAGAGGAAGTGGACTGGTGGCACTGCGGCCCGGTTTTCCGATGATCCGGTCCTGACTCTGATAAGGCTCTCTTCTCAGGACTCTAGTCTGCGTGTTTCCCAGAGGATCGTGAGGTTTTTTGGGTCCTGTAATGGGACGTCATACTTTTCACCAGCAGGTGCAGTGGCTCTATTCCAGCTGATTTCTGACGGCAACCGTGAGAACAATTAGGACTTTATAGTCGTTCTTTTTTGTTTTTCTACGAAGAAATTTTTTTTTTGTATTTGTCCAATGGAAAACTTCAGAGTGACATACTTCCAGCTACTTTTGAAAACAAGTAGTATGCAGTATGTGTACTGTGCACAGTTCATGTTATTTAATAATATGGTCATATTAAAATCATCCTTTCATTTTATATTTATTATTATTTATAATAAATGTTTATTATTTTTATATTTATTTTATTATGTAATTTTAACATATATTTATTATGTTCTTATGTTTCTTATTTAAACGTATTAATAATTCATATTAGTTATAAATCTATTTATACATTTTATATTAGTATATACATATGTATGTTTATTAATAAAATATTGATTTTATTTATAATGTAATGTTATAATATATATTTATTATTTAAATATTTATCTATAATAATATTCTGAAGGTATTCATACATTTTATATGGGTGTACATGTTATATGGTTATTATTTTAGTATTATTTTTGTATTTATAATGCAATTTCCTCATAATTCGTTTTTAAATATTTAAAGATAAATATTTACATATATACAAAATTCTATTTATAATGTAATTTCACCATAATTCCTTTTCAAATAACTAAAAATAAATATTAAATATATAAAGAAAAATCTTATTTAATATATATTTATAAATTTTAAATAAATATATTTGTTTATTTATATATATTGCACGTATTATATTATTTTGCATATATTATTTATATTATAAATGCACTGTATATTATTTTTATATTTATTTTTCATAGTAGTGTCCTGTTCACACTAAAATATTTTAATAAATATTATTTGATAATAGTGAGTGATACGGTTTTGATATTGTGATGCTTTAAATATTATGACAAGCTTTTATTTTATTATTTATTTGTGTTAATTCATTAATTAACTTTTTTAATTATTTATTTATTTTATAAATTCTTAAGTAAATGTATATAATTTATAAATTATATACATTATAAATAATAACATTATTATAATAAAATATTGATTTTATTTATAATGTAATGTTATAATATATATTTATTATTTAAATATTTATCTATAATAATATTCTGAAGGTATTCATACATTTTATATGGGTGTACATGTTATATGGTTATTATTTTAGTATTATTTTTGTATTTATAATGCAATTTCCTCATAATTCGTTTTTAAATATTTAAAGATAAATATTTACATATATACAAAATTCTATTTATAATGTAATTTCACCATAATTCCTTTTCAAATAACTAAAAATAAATATTAAATATATAAAGAAAAATCTTATTTAATATATATTTATAAATTAAATAAATATATTTGTTTATTTATATATATTGCAAATTTTATATAATTTATTTTTCTTTTATTTGTGTTTTCTGTAAGCACTGAATCTTTCATTTTATTTATTTTTAACATTTTTTTTTATTTTTTATTTGTCTTACTGGAATCTTGCCAAGTTACCTGGTTAACTCCTAGTTAACATGTCAAAGCGATTCATTTCAGCTGAGTAATGTGACTTTGCCTCAAGTACACGTGTTGTGTTGTGTGTGCGTTCGAGTCTTTGGTCTCGGTCTGAACGGCTGATCAGGACGTCTCTTGCGTAACTTCAGGAATGTTCTCCTCTGGTGTCCTGTATGTCAGCGCCGAACCCGACTCCTCAACGCTTCACGTAACAGATCGGACAGTCTCTGTGTGACCGCTGACCAGAGAGTGTGTGTGTGTGTGTGTGTGATAATCCTATTATAGCTCTGGACACACACACACACACACTAAAGATAGAGCTGATTCCTGTGAGAGTCTTCTGCCTCTCTGTGTGTGAATTATTGTTGCAATGCCAATCTCCACATGATCAGTGCCGTCTGCATGAGGCGTTCTGATGCGGTTATGATGAGTAATATTTTTCATTTATAGTTTATTTTATTTTCCATTTTATTTATTATTTTATTTTTTATTTTGTTTTATTTTTATAGAATTTATTTTCTTTTACTCATTTTCTATGAGCACTGAATATTTTTGTTTTTTTTATTTTTTGTTTTATTTTATTTCTATTTTGTTTTTCTAGAATTAATTTTTTCTTTTACCCATCTTTTCTGTGAGGACTTGCCTAAATATATATATTTTTATTTTACTTTACTTTACTTTACTTTACTTTACTTTACTTTACTTTTCTCTACTCTACTTTACTCTACTTTACTCTACTCTACTCTACTCTACTCTACTCTACACTCTGGAGTCTGTTTCTAGCGGGAAAAAACAAAATAACATCCTTTTGCCAAGTACTTCACTTGAATAAAACAATTTCTATAAATTCGTAAGCGGAATAATTTGATGGGGTGTTTCCAGTAAAATCAATTCAACGTAAGCTCATGTTATGATACATCTAACTAAAATGAAAACAGAGGAACCTCTTACGGAGGAGATTTTTTTCCAGTGCACTTTGAAGTTTGTTGTTGTTGTTGTGATGTGTTTTCTTCCTGAATCATCATACAGCAGCTGATGTAGGGAAAGTGTGTGTAGATCAGACTCTGAGCCGGGAACAATGAAGGTGTAGTGTGTATTGGTAAGCTGGACGTTTGCCAGGCTTTTAGAGGATTACTTACCCAATAATGATTTCCACAGTAGCCTAATTTATGATTTCGAATCATGTGAGAGTGAGTTATTTCAATAACATTTAAAGCCTGTTAGTCTCACAAACAATCTGCTTTGTAGTCTGATCCTATTTTCTTATTGAATCCGGTCATAAGATCATATTTTTGAGTGCCAGCTGTGACAGACGTCAGCCGTCCTGACCTGAAACTTGAACACCAAAACCTACTGCAATCAGGGGCAACTATGAGCTAGATAAAAACACTCAAAAATACTTAGGCCTAGATTTATGTGCTTGAATTGCATATAAAATTTCCATCCATTTGGATTAATATAAGGTTTAACTTTAACTAATAAGATTAATTTAATGCATGTTTGTCAGTCATACATACATCTAGTAAACGGGTCAGATTTCTGCACTCAAAAAAAAAAAAAATCATGGTATATAGTTTATTATTAGCTATTTTGCATCTATTTGATTTTATTTAAATCATATTTTCAAAATGCATTTATTCAAATGTCTCAGAATCAGCATAAATCTGGTCATTTTAAGGTAAATGTATGAACATGGTTAAAATATGACTAGCTGAAACTAATTGGATTTCTGAATGTTAAATATATAAACCTGATTATTGTGTATTTAAAACACATTCAGTTTATTAGTTCTATTACAGAAAATCTGTTTACGTATGATTGACAAATATGCATTATATTAAGTTTAATAATAATCATGATTATTAATATTATTCGTATTATTATTATTATTATTATTAGTTAGGTTAAAACTGTGTAATGTAACTGTGTGAAAATTGAAAAAAAATTATATGCAATAGATAAATCTTGAATTTAGGAGTATGTTTTAAAAAAAAAATTCAATTTCTATATTTTTCTAAAAAAAATTGAGTGAAATTCAAATACGGAATTCTTCAATTTAGGCTTAAATATTTTTTCAAAATACTTTCTTTTTTTATAAATATTTTTAAGTGAAATTCAAATCCATTCACCAGTATCAGGTGTTTTTTTTTTTACATTTTAATGATTTAACTGGTTTTGTAAATGGGTTTTAATGGGTCTCTAATAGGTCTTTAATCATATTACTGTTAATGCTCGTTTATGAAAGCAATGAATGTACGTAATGCAACACCAAACTGCTTTTGGAGCAGCGCTTTGACTGAAGACGTGTGCAGGAAGTGACATCATACCCGTGTGTGTGTGCGGTTCTCAGGTCTTCCAGAGCAATACTACAGCCTGACGTGGTTCCTGAGCCCCATCCTGGGTCTGATCTTCACGCCTCTGATCGGCTCGGCCAGTGACCGCTGCACTCTGCGCTGGGGCCGCAGACGGCCCTTCATCCTGGCGCTGTGTGTGGGCGTCCTGCTGGGCGTCGCGCTCTTCCTCAACGGCTCGCTGATAGGTGAGCAGCTCTCAGTCAACCTCAACATGACATCCAAATGACTGTTTACTGTCTCAATGCATGTTACTGGTCTTAAAGTGAACAATTCATCAGTGCATATTATTCTAAAAAAATCATAATTTCTCATCTATCTGTCTATCTGTTTGTCTGTCTGTCTGACTCTCTATCTGTCTATCTGTCTGTCTGTCTATCTATCTATCTATCTGTCTGTCTGTCTGTCTGTCTATCTATCTGTCTGTCTGTCTGTCTGTCTTTCTTAAGCTTTAGAGTCAACATGAAATCAAAACCACCATTTTCTTTCTTAATACATGGTCCTAGTTTTAATGTGAATGATTCATCAGTGCACGTTATGTTATGTTATGTTATGTTATGTTAAGTTAAAACTCCACCTCTGAAACATTTTACTTGACTTTTTGCCTAGAAAATAATGTAATAGCCAAACATCTGTCACATTACAGAGAGAAATGGCTTGCAAACAGCAGTTCATGTTGACTTTCTGTGAGAAAACCTGTCTGGCATGTGTTTCTGAGGGGGAGATGTTTGCGGAGCTGATTTTTACTGGAACACTCCTGGTCTTGGCACAGAACGCGAGATGCTGTTATCACGGACACATTTCTATTAGAGAGCAGAAGTGACACATACAGACGCCTGCTGATCTCTGAACCTCGTTCAACACCTGCATCTTCCACATTTCACCTGCCTGAACACAATTTCAAAAAACAGCATTAATAAGACCAGAATCTTCATAAAGATGTCTTATATTAAAGGGGTCATATGATGCGATTTCAATTTTTCCTTTCTCTTTGGAGTGTTACAAGCTGTTCGTGAATAGATAAGATCCCTAAAGTTGCAAAGACTAAAGTCTCAAATCCAAAGAGATATTCTTTATAAAATTTAAGAGTCAGCCACACCTACCTAAAACGGCTCGTTCGCCGGGACACTGCATCACAGTAACATTTCTGTCACACGCTTGAGGTATTCGGCCAATCACAATGCACTGGATAGCTGGCCAATCACAGCACACCTCGCTTTTCAGACCGATGAGCTTTGTAAAAATCGACTCGTTTCAGAAAGGCGGGGCATAGAGGAGAAACAATAATGTACAGTATGTGGAAAATAATGTGTTTTTTTAACCTTAAACCACATAAACACATTTCATTACACCAAATACACAAAATAATGTTCTTTTTTAGCAACGTCATATGACCCCTTTAACACTGTCTTTGTCATTCCTAAGTTTACTATTTCCTACCAAGGTTTTTTAGACGTACCATAGTAATACCTTGCTTTTTTTGTACAATATTCTCTTGACTATCTGTCAGTATTTGAGCTGAAAGAGATGGTTATCTGATGTGTGTGTGTGTGTGTGTGTGTGTGTCAGCATGAACTCTGTCGGTCTCTATGACATGGGAAAGGACTAGGAACCAGTTCACAGGGAACTGTTTCCTGTTGTGCCCTTTTTTACCTTTCATTGCCTATCTGGAACAACTTCCTGTCTCCATGGCTAGCTAGCTGCGCGCCGACGCCATTGTCAGGAAGAAAGCGTAATACTCAGCCTCCCGCTGACACGACACAGAGCTATGAGTCTACAACTAGCTTCCGCCCTCTGTGTCTGTTTTACAGATTTATACACTAAATATTAGAACAGTTTTGAAAAATACTGCATCAATACATTTGCATTTAAAACTGATTTTGGAAAGATTTATTTTATTTTATTATTTTGTTTTATTATTATTATTATTATTTGTTTTTTTATTTTGGTGGTGCACCACCATGATGCTGGTACGTTGTGGATGTTGCCAAAGCAGTTTCTATGGTGTTCTAAAAGTTTTTTTTTTATTATATTATATTTTACATGTTTTACTGTTTTTTTAAATATTTTATTTTATTAGCATTTAAGAAAGACTAGACTAGACTTTACTTTACTTCTTGTAGTGGTATACCATCATGATTTTAGTATGTTATGGATGTTGCCAGGGTGTTGCTAAGTAGTTTATATGGTGTTCTAAGAGTTTTTTGTTTTTTTCTGAGATTTTTATTTTATTATATTTTATAATGTTTAATTTTATTATTTTTAAATATTGTATTTAATTTTATTGTGGCATTCAATAAAGATTTTAGATCCATTTTATAATTTTATTTTATTTGTTTTTTTTTTTTTAAATGTTTTATTTTATTTCATGCTGCTTTCTTGTAGTGGTGCACATGCTAGTACGGTGTGGATGTTGACAGTTTTACTTTTACTTTTAGTCATTTAGCAGATGCTTTTATCCAAAGCGACTTACAAATAAGAAAAAGTAATTAATTTTTTTTATATATATATTTTATTTTATTTTACTGTTGCACTACCACGATGCTAATATTGTGTATGTCACCCCAAGTTACTATCAGGTCCTTTCTTTAATGTAAGTCTATGGGATTCTTTTCCCAATTTTATAATTCACCAGGCAAAAGTCAATCACAAGTAACAGCACATCTGTCCTCAGTGAGGAATCGTTTATGAATGAAATCATTCATTCAGTGTGGAAACACTAAAGTTTGATATTTTGGGTTAGGGGTTTATTCAGATCATTGTCAGAAGTAGCAAACACCAGAAATGACACGCATTAAACATGTTTTCCCCGTGAGCTCAGGCTGTAGAAGCACAAATGCTACTGACACCCTGGAAAAGCTCTAAAATTAGCCTGAACAATCAATTCATGTCTGTGTGTTTACTCACACACACACACACACACACACACACACACACACGTACAGTACAGTGGCTCATGGGATGACAATGCAGCGGATCAAGGTCAGGACACATATGCATTATGGGATGTTTGAGTTCCCAGAGGCCTGTGTGTCACATATATGCTGAAAGTCTGTATGAAATATTGATGAATGGTAAATGTGCACTCCGGAGCACACAAGCAGTGAGCGCTGACGTGTAATCTGCTGTATGTTAGCATTGATTGTTGATATTTTAGCCTTTGCAGAACTCCCATCATTCAGTGCATTGACCACTTTGTGTGTGTGTGTGTGTGTGTGTGTGTGCTTTCAAACAACTAACTTCATCTTCACATCAGTTTCTATTTATTTCTGATGACTTTTGACCTTTGACCTATAAAAATGTAATTTATGCATGACAGGGGATTATAGAAGTAACATTTCATAAAAAGTGGGTACTTTAAAAACCTATTGTTTTGTGCTGTGTTTTCAAAATAATCTTTTGTATGAATATGAATATATTTTACATGTTTCAGACACATTATATAATTGTTTTTTTTTTTTATCCAAAACTTTAACAAAGAAAATACAATTGTTTGAAAAGGACTTTTATTTAAAATATGTTTACGGTGTAGACCTTCATCAATATGAAATTAGTATTGTTTGCTTGTTTATTTGTTTGATTTGTTTATGTTGGCAATTTTTGAAAATGCTTTCGATCATCATTTAAATGCAGGTACATTTAACAAATTTAAATCCTTTTGGAACAGTTATTTTAGGATTATTTATAAAATATTATAGTATTTATTGATATTTTTAATTTTGAATCTTTTAAATTTTCATTTTACATTTTTTTGTTTGTTTTAGTAAGTTTTGTTTTTTAGTTTTGTTAGGTACTTTAAAAAAAATTATACGTTTTTTTATATATATATTTACGTATAGCTTTAATTACTGTTTAAGTTTTAGTGATCTGAATAATTAAAATTATTTCCGTATTTAATACACACACACATACACACACACACACACACACACTGATTCTGAAAAATTCTATAGATTTTTTTCGTAACGTAACCTGTTTGTGTCTGTCTGTCTCAGGTCTTGCTATAGGAGACGTGCCAAATAACCAGCCGATAGGAATCGTGATGACGGTTTTGGGGGTGGTGGTGCTGGATTTCTGTGCGGATGCGACGGAGGGTCCCATACGAGCGTATCTGCTGGATGTGGCCGACACTGAGGAACAGGACATGGCCCTCAACATCCACGCCTTCTCTGCAGGTGCAGCCTTGTTTCAGTCATACATCACAACATGAAAAGCTTGAAGAACTGATTGGCATGAGTCATAAGCCACATTCACACTGCTGATAAATGCAGTTGGCACTCTATTTTGTGTTTAATCTCATTTTGCAGTCATTTATGTGACTGTCAGCTACAGTCTATGACTCAATTCAGGCCAAAAATTATTATTTTTTTACTGTACATCTATACGTTTTTAAATCAAGATATATTTACTTGAGATGCAAAGTGACTTTTTTCTAATTTTTCTTAGCCCTTAGCCCATTTTCTTGTTTTAGTCGTAAACTCACGTAATTTTGATAGATTTCAAGTCATTTATTTCCAAGGCAAATGTACAGTATATTTACCTTAGAATGTTTAGATATTTATGCTGGAAAATAGGAAACAAAATACTAGAGAAGAAATCATTTCTGCAGACTATTTTGATGTACAAATATCTAACATTCTTAAATCAATATACATCTACTTGACAAGCCAATATGCTTTTTTAAAAATGCTTTTCTGAAATTAAAATTAAGTAAGTTTATGCTTAATTCAGATAATAAGCTTAATTTAAAGGGAAAAGTTTATTTTTCTTACCTCATTGACAGATTTTGCTCTTGTTTTATACTTTAAGATTTCCTATATAGTATTTTTTTCCCTATTTTCCAGAATAAATATATATTTTTGCAGTGTAATTTGTAGTACAAATATCTAAATAATCTTAAATCAATATACATTTCCTTAAAGCAAAATTACTTTTGCTGTTATTTATTTTTATTTTATTATTTATTATTAAGTTTATGCTTAAAACTAGACAAAAAATGTCATGGGGTATTAAATATTTTTGTACTTACTCATTGACAGATATTTTTCTTGTTTCAAGCTAAATAATTTTCCGAATAAAAATATACAATTATTAAATCATTTTTATAAAAATAAAAATCATTTTTATCAGTGACATAAAATATTATAGTATAGTAATTTTCCTTCACAAGTAAATGCATCTTAAATTTAAAATTCTATAATATTTGTATAATTTTTTTTATAATGGATTAATAGAAAATAAGACAAAAACACTAAATAAGAAAATAATTTTTTACACATTGCCTTTAAAATCGCTTGTCAAAAAGCCAAAAGCTTTATTATTGTATAGATGTCCATACAGAATGAGTGCTAAACTGTGTATGTTGTGTTTAAGGGCTCGGAGGGGCGGTTGGTTACGCCCTCGGTGGTCTTGACTGGACGCACACATTCTTGGGTCGAACCTTCAAGTCTCAAGAGCAAATTCTGTTCCTGTTCGCCGCGGTTCTGTTCACTGTTTCCGTGGCTCTGCACCTGTTCAGCATCGAGGAGCAGCAGTTCAGCCCTCAACAGGACCGTCTGGATGAAGAGGCAGAAACCGAATCCAGTGTTAAAATCGCAGCATACTTTAAGCCTATATAGTATTTTTTTCCCTATTTTCCAGAATAAATATATATTTTTGCAGTGTAATTTGTAGTACAAATATCTAAATAATCTTAAATCAATATACATTTCCTTAAAGCAAAATTACTTTTTCTGTTATTTATTTGTTTTTTATTTAAGTTTATGCTTAAAACTAGACAAAAAATGTCATGGGGTATTAAATATTTTTGTACTTACTCATTGACAGATATTTTTCTTGTTTCAAGCTAAATAATTTTCCGAATAAAAATATACAATTATTAAATCATTTTTATAAAAATAAAAATCATTTTTATCAGTGACATAAAATATTATAGTATAGTAATTTTCCTTCACAAGTAAATGCATCTTAAATTTAAAATTCTATAATATTTGTATAATTTTTTTTATAATGGATTAATAGAAAATAAGACAAAAACACTAAATAAGAAAATAATTTTTTACACATTGCCTTTAAAATCGCTTGTCAAAAAGCCAAAAGCTTTATTATTGTATAGATGTCCATACAGAATGAGTGCTAAACTGTGTATGTTGTGTTTAAGGGCTCGGAGGGGCGGTTGGTTACGCCCTCGGTGGTCTTGACTGGACGCACACATTCTTGGGTCGAACCTTCAAGTCTCAAGAGCAAATTCTGTTCCTGTTCGCCGCGGTTCTGTTCACTGTTTCCGTGGCTCTGCACCTGTTCAGCATCGAGGAGCAGCAGTTCAGCCCTCAACAGGACCGTCTGGATGAAGAGGCAGAAACCGAATCCAGTGTTAAAATCGCAGCACACCAACCCCAGCTCGAAATGATCCATGAAGACGAGTCCTACGAGCATTACGACCTCTACGCGGACCGGCGATCAGAGCGAGAGCTGGACATGGACTTTTTAGACGTGGACATCGTTCGAAGTAAAAGCGACTCCGTTTTGGCGATGGCCGACGCTACGCTGGACCACCACGACATGCTGTTTCTTCGTGAAATCGAGCCGTCTATCTTCCAAGATCGCATTTCTTCCTATCACGGGTCGCTGCCGCGGCGCAGCAGCAGTGTAGAGAGTCAAGAGTTCCTACGCGGAAAATTCAGCCGACTGTCTGTGTTTCTGCAGCAGGCCGAACGTGACGGAGAAGAAGCTCTGCTTAACAGTCAGCTCAACCAATCCAAAGCACCCAACGGACATACGACGAACCTCAACGGCCACGGGCCGCCCGGTATCAATCCCTCCTGCACCAACGCATCCATGCACCGCAGACACCACACCTTCTACCGACAGTCGTCATGCACCTTCTCCTACTACGGCCGGGTCGGATCCCACCTCTACCGTTACCGGCGCGCCAACGCCGCGTTCCTCATCAAACCGTCCTGCAGCATGAACGACATCAACGAGATGGAGAAGCGGCAGAAACAGAACCTTGGCATTGCTAGTTCCATGCTCTACTATTTGAGCTACGAAAATATAGGAAAGCGTTCTGTAGTTCAAACAGTAGAGCACGGTGCTAATAGCAATGCCAAGGCTATGGGTTCGATTCTCAGAGAATGCATGAACTGATCCATTGTACAACTTGAATGAAATTTAAGTCGCTTTAGATAAAAGTGTCTGCCGAATGCATACAATGCGAGCGAAGTTACTTGGGAATCGAACCTACGGCGTTGCTAGTGCCATGCTCTACTGTTTGAGCTATTCCAAATATACAGTAGGAAAGCATTCCTGTAGCTCAAACAGTAGAGCATGGTGTTAATCGCAATGCCAAGGTTGTGGGTTTGATTCCCAGGGAATACATAAACTGATCAAATGTACAAATTGAATGAAATGCATAAGTGTCTGCCAAATGCATACATGTAAATGTAGGATAAGTTTAAGGAATAGCTCACCCCAAATTATGATTTTATTGTCATGTACTCACCCACAAGAGCGTCCCAGCGGTGAGTGAAGCATTGCTTCTTTTTTTTTTTGCATTCCAAGCAACTAACACTGCATTGAAGGTTTGATTAGTTCATGCATTTCCTGGGAATCGAACCCAAAACCTTGGTGTTGCTAGTGTCATGCTCTACTATTTGAGCTACAGGAAGTTTAATAAGAAATTTTTATAGGGGCTTTCCTGTAGCTCAAACAGCAGGATGGCAATTGCAGTGCCAAGGTTGTGGGTTCGATTCCCTCGGGGATTCAAGAACTGATCAAATGTACAACTTTAAATGCAATTGAAGCTACTTCAGATAAAAGCATCTGTCAAATGCATGCATGTCAATGTAGGATAAGTTCAAGGAACCGTTCTTCATAAATTATGATTTTATTGTCACCCTTAACTGCAAACCCACGACTTTCTTTATATCAAGAAACACAAAAGATGTTAGGCAGAATTTTTGCTTCAAAAAAGCATTGTGATAACTTCATAACACTAGTACATACAAATTAGATCTGTGTGAGGAAAAAGATACAAATTTGAGCTGTCATTCACTCAAAATCTTCTCAGAAATCTCTTGTTCAGTTAAAAACATTAACATTTGCATTTATGCTTTTATCCTAAGCAACGTACGACAGAAGAACAAAAGAAATTAGTCTAAGAGCCAACAATATTCATAATATACAATGCTAGGTTTATCAGACAAACAATAATCTATTTATGTTTTTAAATAAAGGCTGATTTTTAATTAAAAGAAAGTCTGATAAATACATCTTTAAAATGTAAAATTAAAATAAATAATGGTAAAATAAAAATTTATTAAAATAAGACACTTACTTAAAAAATGAAATATTGTACTTGTTTACATGTATGTCATGTAACTAGTAAGCAACATTAGAGAACCATGAACATTAATGTGTTGTTAAATTTTTGAAATATTAAATTAAAATCTTAGGGGGTACTTTTATATACATTTTTAGTTATCAATATTTATATATTTTGGGAATCCCTGGTTTAGCCTTTAACCAAACTTTAACAAACTTATCCTACATTTTCATAGGAAATATTAAATATTTGTGTAATAAGTTGCCCCAAAGATAAAAAATAAAACATGAGAGTATAGTGCTTAAAATGTACAAAAAAATTATATTTATGACTTTTGCACTATATATATATATATATATATATATATATCAATAAAAATGTCATATTAAAATAATTTTAAAATGAAAATAAAACACTTAAATTATGAATTACTCAAATATTACCTTAAAAATCCTTCAAGTAAATAGTTTACGTCAAAGGAGTTCATCTGACAGAGAAGTTTGGGAATCCCTGGTTTAGCCAATCAGAAAACTGGGTATTAGAAATCTTTTTTCAAATAATTGTCTTATTTGTGATTGCTGGCAGTAAGTTTGCTGACATGTTTTTGAAGATACAACATGGTTACATTTAGCAAATGACTAAAATCCATTAAATTTCAGTCTGATAACAAAATGTTTTGGGGAGCTCTTGCTTTACTGCCATCCAGTTTTAACACTAAATCTTGATATCTGTCCCTGTAGGCCCCGCTGAACTCCACCACCCTTCATAACTACCACAGAGGGGTTCAGATGGGCTGCTGGGGGCTGGTGATTTACGCCACCACCGCCGCCATCTGTTCAGGTACGTATCCTGAATCTCGAGATGCGACCGTGTGATCTGTTCAAGTGTGATTCTTCATCTGTATGTCTTTTGTGAATGTAGCTGTACTGCAGAAGTACCTGGATAACTTTGACCTCAGCATAAAGGTCATCTACATCCTAGGCACTCTGGGCTTCGCCATCGGTACGGCTGTCATGGCGATCTTCCCCAATGTCTACGTCTCCATGGTGATGATCAGCAGCATGGGTATCATCTCCATGAGCATCTCATACTGTCCGTACGCTCTGCTGGGCCAGTATCATGATAATAAAGAGGTCAGAGCTCTTCATTCATCTCTGTGAGACTGTAATCCTGCCGTATTAAAGTTAATCCCAGCACTAGTCCTAATCTTTGTCCTGACCGACTCTCAGAACTCAGGGTTGAGGGTGACATTTTAATAAGTAACAGGCATTACATGTCATCAAATTACTTTCTGGGTGTAAAGAACAGTGTAAGTAGCTTACTTGACTATGTTGTTTAGTATCATGACAACAATTGTTTTTTTTGTTTTTTTAAATGTAGCTTTACTAGTAATCAGTAGTAGTATAGAATGGAAAAAAAACGCATTTATTCAGCCAGAAATTTAAACTGCAATCACTATACATATATATATAAAAATAAGTCTGTGTCCTGTAATCATAAACCATTATGATCATAAATCATAAATAATCATAAAAAAATATGAATATTCTTTGCTCACAAGGTCTAGGAATTGTCCATTTAAATATGTATAAATTAAAACAGTACAACAAATTCAACAGTGATGCATACCTTTAATTGTACTTTACAGACTATATCAAATATAATATTAGTTACAGTAGATATATTTTAAATATCTAAATATTCCCCCCCAAACAATGTTTGGTTTTATATTTTTTTAAAAAGTAGTGTTTAATTGTTAGGAAAATGTCTTTCTGATTAATTTTAGCGAATTGGTTTCATAGTGTAATACATTTTTTATACTGCTCGTCTCGAAATAAACAGCCTTTTTAGAGCAACTCATGCAACGCACTGTTTTCAATAACAGTGAAAATGTTGCAGTTTCCTCACGCGTTGTTATTTATATACGGTTGCCACAGTACTCATTGTGGTATTGTTTTATTGTTAATACTCTTGATAGGTCTTAAACAGATTTCTGGACTGAGATCTCATAGGATAGAGAGCAGAATTATTGGACACTGATATGCGACCGATGTGTTCTTGCTGTTTGCAGTACGTCCAGCACAGCCCCGGCAACTCCAAGCGAGGTTTCGGCATCGACTGCGCCATCCTGTCGTGTCAGGTGTACATCTCTCAGATCCTGGTGGCGTCGGCGCTGGGCGCAGTGGTGGACGCGGTGGGCAGCGTGCGTGTCATTCCCATGGTGGCCTCCGGTGGCTCCTTCCTGGGCTTCCTGTCCGCCTGCTTCCTCGTCATCTACCCGGGCTCCGGCGGAGAGGCTGAGCAGACGCGGGCGCTGACATCCCCTAATAACAACGGCGTGACCGAGAAGCCCAGCTTCCTCAAGCTCACGCACAAAGGCGCCGCCACCACAACCTGCAAAGTGGAGTGCGAATCCACGCTGTGAAAGCGATCAGATGACGGCGAACATCTAATGCCGAGTTCACACTGCACCATTTGAGCCCCGACTTTCACTCGCCGACAGGTTTTGCGAAATCGCCAACGAATGCCCGAAATCGTAGGCAAATCGGTGCTCGTTCATGTGAGTGACAATTATCAAAGATGCAATCAGAGAATCGCCGACGCCCGTGAAATATTTAACATGCTACACTAGGGCTGCACGATTAATCGAATGCGATAGTCATGCGCATCTCGTCAGTAAAGCCGGTTCTGTGATTAGTAGTAAATCTCCATCACCTGCTTTCAGATGGAGCAGCATTTACTTCACAGAGCCGTAGTTCACTGACAAGCTACGCAAAACCGCGTTCTTTACCGCAGACGATTTAATCGCGTGATTATGAATTCAAAGTTATCGTTCACGATAATGAAAGCTGTTTGCGTAGCTTCTCAGTGAACTATTGCTTTGTGTAGTAAATGCTGCTCCATCTGAAAGCATGTGAAAATACCACATTTAATAACACGTTTTTACTCCAAACTCACTTCATAACGTCAGTCGAGTGTTTGAAATAAATCCTTCTGTGAGATGATGTGGCTTCTTACACAGAATAAGGCACGCAACATATTTCATAGTATTCTAAGCAGTGATAAAGGCATTGTCGATTAGCATTGCATTATTATATACTTTATTATAAT